TGTCCTTTGTAAAAGCTAAAATGTATTAACATCTTTTTGGTATTTCAAATGAGTTCTTCAGGATGACCAGAACTAGTTACTACCAATTCCCATTTTGAACAAAGCCCACTAAAACCTTTAGGGAAAGTCCGGATACATAAAAAGCATTCTACATTCACTGAAAGGGCAAAAACACAGAGAAAGAAGCTGGATGGATTAAAGCAAATTAGGTAGAAAAAAGAAGTTGGTGTGATAAAGTCAGGAACAAAGAAAATGGATGAGATAAAGGAAGAAAGAGAAGGAGAGATAAGGACATGGGGAAACAAAGAGGCAAACAGACTGACCTCTTAAGTCCTTGGGAGAGTCCAGAAGAGAAAGAAGCAAGAAAAATGCCGTTTGTGCTTTGAACAAAAATAGTGGTGTTTCGGAAGACCCAAGCATTGAGTAGCAAGTAGCCAGAGCATCTGGTGACCACCTGGGTTGTCCATGCCAAGGTTGTAGAGAATTTTGGTGAATCATGTTCAAAATAACATTTTCCATTTGCTCCTAATATATTTGTGCTTGAAAATGGGTGAAAGTAAGAGCAAGTTAGAGGAATGTCTTAGGCCAAAATACTGTATATACTGTGCCCCCCTGTCCTGTGCTCTGTTTCCCCTCTGGCACCACTCCAAGGTGTGCCCAGGCCCCTGTTAAATTAATTAAGCAAGGACTGAGGTGTCTCACATGCCGTGGTGTCCTATGTAAGCAAACCAACATCAGTCTGTGAATGCCTCAGTTACAAAATCAAAATGCTAGGAACAACCAATCACAGTCAACCAAGCTTTAAGCTACAGCTAATCAAATAATATCCTTTCTTTACTTCTGCACTTTCTCAAGAATAGTCTTGGCTTCCAACAGCTTCCGGTTTAGTGCTGCCAGATTGAAATTAATTTTTGTTCAAATAAACTCTTAGAATATTTAATATGCCTCAATTTATCTTGAAACACCCCCTACCTGGGTGCTCCCACAGACCAGCCATGGGAAAACCATTTTGTTCCTCTGAATCTGTTTCCTTATCTATAACGTGGAGCTAATCACTCCTGGCTGGCTATTCTCTGCATCTTGGCTCACAGGATCTCAGCGGTGGCAAGGAGTGAGGGGAGAACGGGAGAACCTCCAACCCGATGCATTATCCCGCTCACCACTCACTGCCAAACTGGACTGGCTCCTTCACTCCTCCCTCAACGTCCAATTCCTTACCTTTTAGACTTTTAGTACTAATCTATGACATAGTTTTTCTGGAATTATGTTTGTATAAATAGAAAAATTTTGTAGTCTTTCAAAGTTAAGGGGATACAATTTCTGCTTTACGCATTATACACAAGGAAATATAAATTGAGGGTAAGTGAAAAATAGCATCAGGTTTGCAAGATATTTTTCAAGGAAATCTAGTTTTTTAATATTGTTTTGGAACCCAAAGGTGGAAAGAAAAAGTAAGTTTCAAAGGTGCATAATTGAGGACGCCTTCCCTGTGTACCCTTAGGGCCCACGCTGTGAACCTGGACCAGCAGCTGTACGAGCACCTGGGTATTTGTTAGAAATTCAAAATCACTGGCCCCACCCCAGACCTACTCAATCAGCGACACTGAGGCTGGAGACCAGCAGTCTGTTTTCTGACAAGCCCTGCCCTTTGAAATTTGAAAATAATTGCTTAATGCTATGAAGTGGGAAGCTTGGATGGGAGGCAGGGGGAGTAGAGAAGGAAGTGTATGTTGGTGTGTTTTCATCATTAAAAATGAGGATAAGATTAGGTGAAAACATGTGAAATTGCCAATAGTCAATCACTTTTGACCTATATAAAATGTAAAGATATGATTTAATCTAACATATGTATTTTTAAGTATTATGAGGATAGGATAATTACTGTAAGAAAAAAATCTTGCACAGAGACTGGATATCAAAGTTCAAAAAATGAGCTTCTCTACTTTATTTCTAATGCTCTAAAATGTACTGATTGGGGCCTCTATTCTCAGAAGCAAGCCATAAAGTAATTAGCAGATATGCCTTCCAGTGCCCAACTTGGATCAATGGCAGGCAGCTCACCCCACACTCACCAGAAAGAGTTGTGTTGTTAGATGAAGAGTGCACCACCAGCTCACAATCCTTCTAAAACAACTAGTTGCCACTCTCCAATACCTAAAATATCAGATGTTTGTCTACACATACCTCTGGGTAAAAATAGCAACTAGGTTTACTCTCATGTCCTGCTTCTTTCAGGCATACACCTTACCCTTCCAAAATGTTCTTTTCTTCCAGCTACTTACCTGAAGTTAAATTCTTGTGTCCCAAAACAATGGATACACACTTTGAATGATTATAAAATCAATGTTTATTAGCATATAATTCATTTTCAAAATTTAAAGGAATCTACTAGTGTGTACATATTTTTTGGAACACTCTGTATGTGGCTTCTAGGGAGAGATAGAAATGAGCACCGGGCTCAAAAAAGCCATTCTGAAGCAAGCCATGAACATAAAGTTAAGGCTCTTGGCTGATGTCAGTGCAAATTAAGAGTGAGTCCCAGGTTTCTCTTATCTTGCTGGATTTGTCTGTGGTGCAATAAACTGTGTGGTTGAAAATGGCCTAGAAAAAAAAGGAGCACACTTTCTAACCTAACTAGGTTAAGCAGATGAGTCATTGAACCCAGATGATTAAGGTAAATGTACATTACAATCTTTGATAGCTTCAAATGAAAAAGCTGGAGATGAAGTTGGAGGAGGAAAAAGAAAAGAGAGGAATAGGAACAAAATTTTTTCTGGGATGTATATAACCTCTTTCCAAATTAAAGTTAAAGTGTTTAAAGGATCAGAGTTCTGTTCTATGCATCCTTTTTTTTAAATGTTATTTTATTGATGTTAGAGAGAGAGGAAGGTAAAGGGAGAGATAGAAACATCAATGATGAGATTCATTGATAGGCTGCCTCCTACTGGGGATTGAGCCCGCAACCCAGGCATGTGCCCCTGACCGGAATTGAACCTGGGGACCCTCCACTGAGCCAAACCAGCCAGGACTGTCTTATGCATCTTTAAATAATTCTCTCTCCCACACCAGGGAGAGAGGGACAGTCAATAAATAGTCAATACTCATGAATGACTGCAGAGACAGAAAAAAATAAAGGATCTATAGATTTCTATATAGTAGATGGTTGGCAGGATATACACTTTTATTAGGTGTCTCAGTTAGTGAAGACTTGCTATGGACTGAATATTTGTGCCCCTTCTTGGCCCCCCAAAAATGTATATGTTGAAACCCTAATTCCCAATGTGATGGTATTTGAAGATGAGACCTTTGGGACATGATTAGGTTATGAAAATGGAGCCCTTATAAATAGAATTAGTGTCTTTAGAGTAACCAGAGCTCTTCCTCTCTTCTCTGCCATATAAGGATACTACAATAAGATGACTATTTGTAGACCAGAAAGAGGGTCTATACCAGAACCTGACCATACTGACACCTTGGTCTTGGACTTGCAGTCTCTAAAACTGTGAGAAATGTTTCATGTTTAAGCCATCCAATCTATGGTATCTTGTTATTATAGCAGCCCAAATTGGCTAAGATAAGACTCTTTAGCCATTCAGATTTTAAAATAATATTTCCCATCTTTACAATCTGCCCCCAAATTAATGTATTATTATCAAAGCACCTGTCCATGTCAGAAATAATCCAAATGTTTAAGGAATCACATCCCATGTGGAATATTATTGCCCTGCTTTATGTTGGCTCTCACTTGTTGGGAAAATGAATCTGTCCTTCTCTGTTCATTACCAGAGCTCACAGCCAGATGGATAACCTTACAGCTCAAAAGTGAGGCTACAGTACACTTGGGGAGTTTGTAGTTAGGTATTTTCTTCCTAATGACAATCTCTAGCTTGCCTTCTAGTCCAAGCCATTTGACATTAATCTTTCAGATCCACCACCCGATAGCAAAGGGCAGAGACATTTTGTAACCAAATTGGGTGTGGTATAAGCACTACAGCTTATAAAGAACATGACAATCCTGAGATAATTGGAACTAGGTACAGGCAATATATTATGCATTCTGTTCCTTCTTCATTATTCGTGCGCACCCTCTATTGCACAGGCAATTTTGTTTTGAATTCATATGTGTATCTGATTATAAGAAGGGGTGAACTAGTTGTCATTTACTGTGAACTAAAGATACCTTTGTCTGGTCAGTTTTCCCTGTCACCTAAGTATTAAAGTTATATTCTCCTCTAAATAAAATTTTAAAACATTTCTATTAACTATAAAAACTTATGAGTATTTAAAATTTTTCTTTTCAACCTAGTCTTTCTGACCTAGTCAAATAAAATGTTAAAAAATATTAAAAGGCGGTTAACTTAAAGTAACATAAGATCTCTCTCTCTCTCTCTCTCTCTCTCTCTCTCTCTCTCTCTCTCTTTCTCACACACACACACACACACACACACACACACACACACATACACACAGTCCTTTTTTTCTCCTAAGGGCACTCAATGGCTTCTTTCCTTCATTTCACCTCACTCTTCTTACAGATAGGCCCCTACAGAACTGTTAGCCCAAATCACAGCTCAGGAGATCTTGTCAGGAGGTTCAAGAAAGCACCTTCTCTCCCAGCTGTCATCAACACACCCTTCATTCTCCCTGCTTATGTCAAATTCATTAACATATAAGTGCCCTTAGCACTTCCCGAGTCTTCCTCCTGTATTAGTTTGCCAGGGCTGCCATAAGAAAGTACCATGGTCCTAGCTGGTTTGACTCAGTGGTTAGAGGACTGAAGGGTTACAGGTTCAATTTCATTCAAAGGCCTGTACCTCGGTTGCAGGCTCGATCCTCTCATATCGATGTTTCTCTCTCTGTGTCTCTATGCCTCCCTCCACTCTCTCTAAAGATCAATGGAAAAAATATCCTCAGGTGAGAATTAACAACAAAAACAAAAAAAAAAGTACCACAAACTTGGTGACTTAAACAGCATTTATTTCCTCACATTTGGAGTCTGGAAGTCCAAGATCAAGATGTCAGCCTGGTCGGTTCCTTCTTAGGGCATCTCTTTTGCATGTTCTTCACATGGTCTTCTGTGTGTGTGCTCCAAACTTCCTCTTCTGATAAGGACACCTTGTCATATTGGATGAGGAGTGACACTAATGACCTTATTTAAGCTTAATTACCTCTTTGAAGACCTACCTCCAAATACAGTCACTTTCTGAGTTTCTGGGGATTAGGATTTTAAGATGTGAATTTATGAGTAGCACAATTCAGCCCACAATACCCCCTCATGGAAAGGAAGAGGGTAAGTGGGAAGACGAAGAATACATAACTGATTTCCTTCAGTAAACCTGAATGGGGGGGTGGGGAAAGAACTGTTTTCTCCACTGACTTGATTTAGGAGATTAAAGTAATGTTCTGGGACTTGGAACAGCACAAAAGAGAGAGGAAACAGAGTGCAGAGGATAAATGGTGATGAAAAATTTTAAATTAAATTAAAAAAAATTGACTGGAAAAGGGAATAAGGAAACTTTCTGGATGATTACACTATTTTATGTCTTAATAAATATTTGTGCTACGTAAGTGTAAAAAAATAGACATAGAAACAACCTAAGTGTTCTCTGCGCTCTGTTTCCTACTCACTAGATACTAGAAGCACTGAACCTCGGGCCCATGAACTTTCCAAGGGCTAATGAAAATGTCTGAAAGGTAAAAATTTAATGATTTTCAAATATGAAAATAAAATTGTAATCAATAAACATATAAAAGCCTATGAAACTTCACATTATGTCAACTAGTCAACTGCAACACAACCTAACTGTCATATCATTCATTCATTCACAGTGCCTCCCAAGTGCCAGTGACTGTTCCAGATGCTGGGGATCTAAAAATGAACACAGGAGACAAAATTTCCTATCACCAAGGAGTTCACATAGTGATGCATGAGAGGGAAACAGAAAGCATACATATTACGTATTAGAAATGGTGACTGTTATGGAGAAAACTAAAGCAGAGAAAGTGAATGCAGAGAGCCAGGGAAAGGGGACTTGCATTTAAATAGGTCTTTAGGAAAGGCGGAGTAAAGTTTTCAAGGAAGTCTGAGAATTCACCACCCAAAATTTGCGGGGGGAATAGTTTTAGGGGGAGGCTAAAGCAGAAGCAAAAGCACGCCATAGTGCCTGAGAACCCTCTCAGAGGCCAATGTGGCTGTATCAGAATGCATGAAGGCAGGAAGCCAAAGGACATGCAATCATTATCTCAATGAGATATCTGAAACCCTGTGTTTATTGCAGCATTATTCTCAACAGTCAAGTGGAGATGGAAGAGAACATAGGAGGATAAATGGTGATGAAAAATTTTAAATTAAATTTAAAAAAAAGAATTCACTAGAAAAGGGCATAAGGAAACTTTCTGGATGATTACACTATTTTATGTCTTAATAAATATTTGTGCTACATAAGTGTAAAAAAATAGACATAGAAACAACCTAAGGGTTCATTGGCAAATGAATGGATAAAAAATGTGAGATATATATAGGATGCACACACACACATACAACACACAAAATGGAGTATCATTCAGCCATGAAAAAGGAGAAGTAAATCTTAAAATTTGGGACCAGATAGTTGGACTTTGAGGGCATTATGCCTAATATCTAAAAAGATCTTGAAATGGCCAAAGGATGAAGAAAGGCCAGTGTAGAGAAGCAATGTCAATTGGAGTATAAGAATAAAAGGCAGTGGAGAGTTTGCTGATGCTGTAGAATAGAAGAGAATCTGAGATTTTAATAAATTGGCATAGATCTTGCACAAGTTTACAAGTCTGAGAGCAAAATGAATAAAGGTTGACTTTGCATCAATAAGTAAAATACTTTTTAGGTTAGATTATGATGGTTCATGGATTTGTGGGGTGTTCAATTATTAAATGTAATATAATCACCCCAAAATTAGTAGTTTAAAATAATAACAAAATTAATTTTGTTCATGAAACTGCAATTTGGACAGGGCTCAGCAAGAACAGTGTCAGCTGTGAAAATCCGAAGACTAAGGGCTGGAATCATTGCAGTCTTTCTTCCCCACATGTCTGATAGGGTTGATGCTGGAAGAGTCAGAGGGTTAGCACCACCGGACTTGAGTGATGTTGTGTTTATTGTACTATATTTTCCTTTGCTCAGAGCAATGGGGGGGGGGGGTCTTTTGTCATGTTAATGAGGTGATTTTTGTAAAGTACTTAAGCAAAGCAACCTTGATTAGAGGACTGGAACTTCCAGTCCAGCCCACGACTTCCAGGGAGGGGAGAGGGGCTAGAGATTGAGTTCAGTCACTATTGCTCATTTTCATTCAGTCATGCCTATGTAATAAAGCATCCATAAAAAACTGAAAGGACAGGTTTTGAGAACTCCTGGTAGTGAACACATGGAGATTCGGGGAAAGTAGAGTGTAGGGAAGCTCTTAGCTCCTTCCTATATACCTGCCCTATGCATCTCTGTCATCTGATTATTTCTGAGTTATACATCCTTTTACAATAAACCAGTAATCTAGTAAATAAAATGTTTTCTTAAGTGATGTAAGGGGGTCATTAGAACCTCCAGTTTACAGCAGGTCAGTCTGAAGCAGAGGTGACAACCTGGGCTTGTAATTAGCATCAAAGTTGGGGCAATCTTGTAGAACTGAACCCTTAACTGGTGAAATCTGATAGCATCTCTGGGTAGACACCGTTGGCATTGAGTTGAATTGTGGCACACCCAGTTGTTGTTGCAGAATTGCTGGGTGTGGAAAAAACTCCACACACTTTGGAAATGGTGATCAGAATCTTAGCTTTTATATGTCCACTGGACTCTGTACATGGTCTCTCCAGCATGGCAGTTTCAGGGTTACTGACTTCTCACACATTAGCTTGGGACTCCCATGGTGAATGTCCTGAGAGACAGAGGAAGCCTGGTAGACGCTGAATCACCATTTATGATCTAGTCTCAGAAGGCGTGCAACATAACTTCTGCTGCTTTCTATTTACTAGAAGTTAGTCACTAAAGCCAGCCTATATTCAAAGGGAAGAGGATTAGACTTCACAGGTGGGAAAAGCCCCAAATAATTTGTGTACATGCTTTAAAACCACTATACACATGTTTTACTTACAGCTCTTTAGCTACCTAGAGTGTACTTGCATAGGCCTCTGACCCTGATGCTGCCAGGCTCTCTAAGCATGGCCCCTTTCATAGGGGTGATGGCCCTGCTAAGCCTCTTTGCTGAAGAAGAGGCTGGACCATAGATAAAGTTTTGGGAGGGAAATAGAGGAAGAAGTCCTCCTATTTGTGCCCACAGATGGTAAATAGGGATAATTAAATTTTAAGAAACCATTTGCTATTATTTGTGATGATGTAGAGGTGGTCTGGCTGAGAAGATGGACAGAGAGCGTGGTTGGGTAATCAAGCAATATATAAAACTATTGACTTCTGGGCATCTTTCCCTAGATATCCAATCAATACCTTGAACTCAATATATCCAAGGCTGAACTCAACTCTATCCTTCTTCAACTCTTCCCCCTTGTATTTCCTATTTTTATTTCCCCACCCAGCACCTACTCCTATTGCTCAAATCAGAAATCTGATAACCAAGTGATATCCTCTCCATCTCTTCCACTAGCTATGTTCAATTAAGTAGAAGTCCACCTCCTAAATATGTCCCGAATTTATCTCTTCCTCTCTTTCCCTATTGCTTCTGCCTTAATTCAATCTTCAACATCTCCCATTCACAGTAACTGATTATCTTGTCTCTCCTCTTATCATTTCATCTTCCAAATGGTCAATTATTACCTTTCTAAAGCAGATTTAATAAGGACATTGTCTTGGGTAAAACAGTGTTTTCTTATTACTCTAATGGCATTACTTATAGGATGAAGATTCTAGTTTTCAGCAGGACATGAAAGGTCAGGTTTCATTTTTCATCCACATGTGCACCCAACACTCCAACCACTCCATCCTTCTTGCCTTTCTGCGAACACACTGTGTTCTCTCTTGCCTCTGTAACTTTGAGAATGGTTTTTCTTCCTGAAAAGTCCTTTACCCTGGATCATCAGCTCAAATCCTCCATTTTCAAATCCCAGCTTCAACGTCACCTCTATTGTAAAATCTTCACTCTTCATTCATAGCATCTTCTACCCACTTTTTAAAAGAATTCACACCATATCTATAATAATAAAAGGGTAACATGCTAATTAGACTGGACATCTTCCAGACATCATTCCAGATGTTCTTTCTGATGAAGCCGGGGCCAGAGGGAAGCCAGCCTGGGTTCCAAGTTCCAGGGGAAGGAAGGCCTATTCTTGCACAAATTTTCATGCATCGGGCCTCTAGTCCTATCCTATATAATAAAGAGGTAATATGCAAATTGACCATCACTCCAACACACAAGATGGCAGTTCCCATGTGGTCAAAGATGGTCACCCCCATGTGGACACAAGATGGCCATCAGGGGAGGGCAGTTGTGGGTAATCAGGCCAGCAGGGGAGGGCAGTTGGAAGGGACCAGGCCTACAAGGGAGGGCAGTTGGGGGGGACCAGGCTGGCAAAGGAGGGCAGTTGGGGGTAACCAGACTGGCAAGGGAGGGCAGTTAGGGGTGACCGGGCCAGCAGAGGAGGGCAGTTGGGGGCGACCAGGCTGGCAGGGCAGGGCAGTTTGGGGCAATCGGGCCATCAGGGGAGCAGTTAGGTGTCAATTAGGCTGGCAGGGGAGTGGTTAGGGGTGATCAGGCTGGCAGGCAGAGGTGGTTAGGGGCAATCAAGCAGGCAGGCGAGCGGTTGGGAGCCAGCAGTCCTGGATTGTGAAAGGGCTATCTGACTGCTCTTGAGGGGTTCCAGATGGACAGGGTACAGGCTGGGCTGAGGGAAAACCCCTCTCATGCATGAATTTCGTGCACTGGGTCTCTAGTCTATATATATAAAAACCTAAGCAACCAAATGCCTGAACGACCAGTCGCAGGTCGCTATGACAGGCACTGACCACCAGGGGACAGATGCTCAACACACAGGATTGGGCTCCCTCCTGTCTAGATCAGGCATGCAGAGATTGGGCCAAAATCAGCTATCCGACATCCCCCAGAATCCCAGATTGTGAGAGGGTGCAGGCCAAGCTGAGGGACCCCATCGGTGCATGAATCTGTGCACCGGGCCTCTAGTTATTTCATAATTAACAATTTCCATACCACTATACCATAAAACCTGTAAATTCCTTAAGCATAAAAATCATGACCTTGTCCATTTTGACATCTCACCTGTGATTGGCACAGAAAATACAATCAATAAATAATATGTTTTAAACTAATGAATGACTGAATTCGAATTAGTATTTTTTAAGCTTGCACAACTTTATACTTCCTTATGACTTTCACTGATCTATACCCAAATAATTAATTTTATTATGCAGTTAATGTTTATGGTGCCATTCCAGAGGGACACCCAAAAAGGGATTTAGAGCATATTTATTCCAATAATATCAATTTTCAGATAAGGAAGGCAAAGCACAGAGAAGAAGGAAAGAAACAATTTATTGATCCAGCCACATTCACATATATATCACATTTAGTGTTCATGTCAAACATATACTTCAGGTGTTGTTAATTTTCAGTCAAGAAAATATACTTCAGAGAGGTCAACTTCTTCCTCTGTCACACAATAGATAGGGCTTCTAACCCTGGCTCATTTGTTGTTCCTTCCAGTATACCCTAATATATTTTACTTGTTTTTCCTTCTCATTTATTACTAAGATATAATAATGACCTCCATTACTAAAACCACATTAAATTTTCTTATCCATTCTAGTCTATTTTTTAATGTATTAGAGGAAATATTTGAGTAAAGGTATAATATCTGCAAAGAAAGGGAACATGG